GGGGGATTGGGTTGGACCATTTGATTAAATAGGAATGTAGAGCACATGAAATTTGGTCCCTACCACCAAAAGCCCACTAGGAGGGGTAGACACAACCCAACATTATATTGCATGAAGGGTTCAGTCCAAACAACGATTTGATGGGACTCGTGCCTTACGTTGCACGTGCAATTTCAGCGTCTCCTTATCGGAAGATTTGCACAAATAGGATTATTTAGTGCAAAAAGTTTTCGCCCCATTAAAAAAGATTTTGAAAAAATAGCCCCCCTGCTAAAAATTTAAAGTATATTGTAAAAATTTTGAAGCACGATAATTTGAACTACATTACCAGAATTTTAAAGCACAATGATAGAATTTTGAAGCATACTACAAGAATTTGAAGCACGCTTCTAGAATTCTAAAGCATAATGTCAGAATTATTGTATTTTACTAAAAAAAATTCTTAGCAAGGTCAAAATATAAACAGTAGTTCTAGAATATATATATTTTACTTTTGACACGAGAACAAAATTTTTGAAATAAAATTTACAATGATCACATTGGCAAGTTCAACACTCAATGCAGGACGCAGCACAAAACGAGCAGCATAGATTTCAACTCTTTCGTGTTTTCATTAGCAGATACTGCCTACACTTGCTACTCTTCCTTACTTCCCCTGTACGAGTGCAAAGTTTAGGCAAACATAGAAAGAGTATTACAAGGGCAACTAAAACTTAACATGCACCAGAGCAGCATTGGGTATTACCGTGTTACGCGAGAAACCAAAATTGAACCAGAGCCACTCCCCGTCTTTAAACATAACTAAATACAAAGACAATCCTATTTTAGTCGTCAGTGCACAAATATTTCAAGATTGTCCTTGGGCCTGCTTCTCTCAAGCTGACTCTCCATTGGCAGCCAAGCCTCTGATTTTTACATCATAGAAAACTTCTTCAACTTTCCTAAGGTCATATTTCATTCCTGCAACAACAGAAATTGACGAATCAGCAAGTCAATTTGCAGAAACATCAAAATCAAGATATGCAGTAGCACCAAATCAGCAGCCCGTTGGATTGATTAAACTAAAAAAACATATGAATAAGTTATGAAAAGTTGCATAGACAATAGATGCATTCCTTCCTCTAGATTCGTTTCGTGTAAAGTTCTACTTAGATAACTTTATTGCCTTGCAGAAAAGTCAAAGAAAGGTAGGAAAAACGGTTAGGAAAATAGATAGAATTCAATACGGTCCTTACAGCCAAGAAATAAAAAAGAAAAAGACAATGCACATCCACCTCCCACACCCATGAGGCTCCGTTTGCTCAACATTATCAGATTCAACATTTCTCTTCCCTGATGGGGTAATTTTAATGTCTAATGGTCTATAACTCCATATACATCAATTTGTATGAGATATTGACCAGCAAAGAAGGATGAAACTAATGCCTTAATGCTCGACTATTTTCCCCCATTGCTTAGTAGGTTGATGGGCTTCGCTGCAACAGTAGTGTATAATATAGCTCAGATGAAGTGTTCAAGGAAAGAAATGGTGGAATCGTCTGAGCATAGCCTGCTAAACTGGAACTCTCATAACGTAGCCTTCGGAAATTAAACTTATTTGTTCACCACTAGATCTGCTACCTTGTAACTCTCATCGATTTCTGAAAAGACTGTCTTATGGAAACTACGCTTGGATGCCAATGGCATCAATGAAGAGAACCAATGGTGAAAGCAGCAACCTAAAATTCACTGGTTTTGCTACTGGCTAAGACAATCGGCCTAACTTCAATGCCTAATTACTAGTAATACCCTCTTTAAAAGAGAAAACAACCGAAGTCCACTATATCAAAATTAGTTTATTGCTCAAGCTGGAGAAGTTGGACTGACTGGTATTTTGAAAATATATGCCTGTCTGTTACCTCTTTCTTTGGATAGTGAAAAACATATACTTACATAAGATATACCCATCGGACAATTTTTTGATATTTTTTTAATTCTTTAACCAGCAGTATTTTTATTTTGTTCATCCACTTCTCTCTTCTTTGTCCTAAAGCTTTGATCTAAAAAAAAAGGTAGCCTGGTCCACAAAGCAACCCGCGTTCATGCAAGGTATGGGGAAGGACCACAACGGAAGGTGTGATGTAGGCAGCCTATTGGCTAATTTCACCACTCGCAACAGTGACCAATAGGCCACACGAAGACAACTTTACTGTTGCTCCAAGGTTCCCGTTCAAAGCTTTGATCTAAACCAAAAGAAATTTACCCTACATAACCTTTTTTTCTCAATTTCTCCGCGCGCTCAAACAACCGCCTTTTATCTCACATTTCCTAGAGCTCAAACAATTCCACGGATCTCATGTTTCTTAAATTTCAAGATCCTTTCCTTTGTGCTTTCTTTTCACGCATTACAAGAGAAAGTTACAACTAAAGATACTTTGATATTAATGATCAAAATATGCAATTTATATAGGATGTTATTATAAATCAAGAAAAAGAAAAGACAATCTAATTTATATGGAATTGCACGCTCACCATCAAACTTTTTGCGCAAGAAATCATTTCTGAGATTAAGCATGCGAAATGCTGCATGGAGATCTGTCAAGAACTTCAAAACCTTACGCGGGCAATCATAGTCCCCAGCTGTCACTTGGTTCACCACATATCTAGGCTGCAACATCATTACCACATGATTGGTCAATCCAAAGACGAAGATGCCACAATAGACAGTATCAGTGGCCTTTGCAAAATGAGAAGGAACACAGAAAAAACCTTAAATATATTATATGTTAATTTGCACATCAGCTTTGTGTCAAAACCACAACAGAGATAGCTACCAAGTTTAAGTTAGTCATGTAAAGCAGAAAAACAGAAATATTCCAAGTTCTAGCTTATTGTCCTTACCAACTCATTTGACATAAAACAGATACCTGCCAGAAAAAAAAAATCCTGTAAGTATCTCCAAAAATATTGAATCAAGCAATACAACAACGTTTCAAGACCTTAAAGTCTCTTTCAAGGGAATTAGGTAGAAGTCCTAAAATGAAGGATACAGGAAGATTAGGTGGCCTTTTGCAAGCACGGAAGGCATTAAGATGCCTTTGAACCTTACAAGCATAAATCCTTTAAAAGCAGGGTTTATGGTTTCACATATAAGCTCCTGCTTTAGAAACAACACTGTGCATATGCATAATGAATTCCTAAACATGTGGAGGACTAGAGCCTCAAACCAACAGAGCCAAATGTCTTCGACTCTTCTTATCATCCTTGAAACATTTACAAAAGAATGACACCAAGTTTACCAATCAAAAAAAGAATAAGAGCAAGTTTTGTACCAACATATTTTGGAAACTTAGGGTCACTCACCAATAAGATAGTCTTCAACATCAAGTCCAAATTCTGTTGGTGTCACTACAAAGTATACAAGTATTAAAAGTTAATAACTTCAAAGATTATCTAAATCTAGAACACATAGATAAAAACTGATAGAAATATACATGACATTCACTTTGAACATCAGCCTTTTCACCTAAAAGGTTGACACAGCAGAGTAAAGCGTTTATTTTTGCTTTCAGTTTACAATTGGCTTTTGCTGCTAAGAGGTTGAAGCTCTCCTAATTAGCATTTGCTGTCAGAGATTTCAACTATAGGGGTTTTCAATCATCCTAAAAAAGAAAGGTGATAATCATCCAAGAATTGTAGAAAGGAGCAAAGAGAGGCAGCTCCAAGCTCTACCATGCAAGAATGAGGGAGCCATGATCTTCCCTTTTTGCTACCTCAATTTGGAGGAGATGTGATCTCAAGACAGTATGGACACGAGAAAGATCAAGGGATGAACTCATCAAAACCCAGTTGCTGCAAATGGTAGGAAGTTATTAGCTTATAAAGGCCAACTAAGAACGGATTAGACCTCCAACCTGCTTTTCAACTGTGTGAGCTGAAGTTGAAATTTCCTCATCAACATTCACTATATAAAACTTTAATTGCTCACAGATATGCCGATTAATCCACATTAATTGAGGAAGAAATCAAATTATAAGATAGGAGAGATTAATAGAAATTTGTAGCTTCATGAGAGAGCCATGGCTAAAAAAGAAACATAATTGCCAATTCATATGAAAGATTGGCACTCGAAATATGAGAACAGATAGAAAAACACAATACAAGAAAAACTGCTGCAGCCGATGCACTGTGCAGAGTATTCAATAATTATGTTATGTTAAATTCACTAATACATTTTACCTAAAAGGATATATTATAGACAGAAAAGAAAACTTACAGCCAAGTTTCTCCTCGACTTCATTGTGCAGAACAAGAGTCCCCGTCTCTAACCAATGCATAAAAGCAATCAACGAGACCACAGTTTGTGTTTCACTCTTCCAATCACCGTGATACCTAATACACCAAAATGGACAATCACGGAGGCCGAAAGATAACCATAAAACCATCTTAAACTGAAAAACAAAGAAAAGAAAGAGATATCATCAAGTATCACTCACCGGAAATACTGACCAGGACATTCACGTACGATTTCCGAAAGCCGACTGTAAAGTTCCTTCAGCTCTCCGATCTGAGCCTTAGCCTTCTCTAGAACCTCTATTGCAACGTAGTGAATGGAACAATATTTAGGCTAATAATAACTTAACAAAAAGAAATATCTATATTACTATTAACAACTGCAAGAAACTAGATAAAGCCTGAATTTTAAAGCAAAAACAAATGCAGCACACATACATCTTAATTCAACTCGCACCACCCTCCAAGAGCACGTTCTCTATTTAAGAGCAGGAAGGGAGAAATATGATACTCCCTACCCTCCACATTCATTTCACATGACATTATTTGACAGGAGACGGCGCTTAAGATTTTTATTTGACTTATTTATAATGGAAGACGTCGCATCAAAGTGTAAAATTAGTACTCCCTCAGCTTCAATTTATGTGGCGGTGTTTGACTTAGATAAAGGAAGATATCACTTCCAAACTTCTAAACACAGATTAAAAGAAACCCTCCCATTATCCCCAACATGAGATTTCTAAAGCCAAGCAAATCAGAAAGTTTAAAGTTAAATTATTTTCAAATAAATAAAGGCGCAATAATATCATTAATGAAATTCGTGAAAGTTACTTAGAAACAAATCGCATCAAATATTTCAAAACGGATAAAATGAAACGATTTTTAATACAAATAAGAACGGAAAAAGTGAGTACTAATATATTTTTTTAATACCAGCAACAGGGCGAGACTGATGAACGAGAAGGAGGCTAGCATATATAACCCGAGTAACCGACTCAATCTCCGTCGCCACTGCTCTTATTCGCTCCCGTAAATTCCCGGACTCCTCTAAATGATGCCGAAAGTCCTCGAACTGTTTCTCCAATTTCTCCGACGAAGGATTGGACAAATCACCAGCCGCCATTGAATTAGCAAGAAATGTAGAGCAACAACGAGCTTTATTAGAAGATGTGAAGGTGGAACTGGGAACGGAGAAATTTTGGGTGGAAATGAGAAGGAGAGGGAAGTAGGGTTTAGGGTTTAACACGTAGTGAGAGAATACAGTACAAGTGTTTCGAAATGCCGATATCATGTTGAGGAATAATGGGAGGGTGAAATTTTACTCTCTTTTTAGAAGTTTTCATGATTAATGAGATATTATTCAGTAATATTTTATCGAAAATGACTTACTTTTTTAAAAATTAAAATATTTAAATGGAACAAGTATTTGGTTGGAGATAAGAAATTATTTGAAAAAATATACATGTCCATATGTAATCCCGTAAGTGGGTATGGGAAGTATAATGCGTACCTAGACCTTACACTTACTTTAAGCAGGTAAAAATGTTATTTTCGATAGACCCTCAGCTCAAGTAAAGCAAAATCATATTAGTTTAAAAAGAAGTGCAACAATAAAGAAGACATGGCCAAAAAAAACACTAACAACAATAAGATAATAAGAAAATCAAAGCAGAAGAAAATCAGGTAGTAATAGAAATTTCGATAGACCATCGACTCAAGTAAAACAAAATCACATTAGTTTAAAAAGAAGTATAACAATAAAGAAGACATGGAAAAAAACACCAACAACAATAAAGATAATAAGAAAATCAAAGCAGAATAAATATTAGGTAGTAATATAAACCTACCAATAAGCAAATACGAGAATAAGACTAATGCTACTGAAAAGGAAAGAAAATATACTCAACTAGCTACTAACCATCTACTCTAATTTTCGACCTCCACACCCTTCTATCAAGGATCATATTCTCGGTAAGTTGAAGATGTGTCATATACTATTTCCCCAATACTTATTTAGTCTACCTCTACCTCTCCTTAAACCCACAATGAGCAACCTCTCACACCTCCTCGCTGGGACATTTGTACGTCTCCTCTTCACGTATCCGAACCATCTCAGTCTCGCTTTCTACATTTTCTCCACCATGGAGGTCACTCCCATCTTATCCTGAATATCTTCATTCCTAATTTTGAGCCCGTTTGGATTGGCTGAAAAAAGTGACTTTTAAGTACAAATGCTTGAGCTTGTTTTGCAAATAAGCAATTACGTGTTTGAATAGAAGTGTTTAAGCTAGAAAAGAGCTATTGAAATATTTTTTTTGGTAAATAAATGCTGGTAAGCACTTTTTCTGTTAAAATGACCAATGTGCCCTTAAAGTTGTCAACACTAAAAATAAGCTTATTGATGCATTTTTAATTTTAAATTAACTCAAATGCAGATTAATTTGTGTATCAATTCAGTTTAAGTTACAATACTGATCAGATAAGATTATTTTAATTAATATAAAGTACTTATTAGGTAAAACATGAATTAAAAATTATAGTTAAAAAATATACTTAAATTATATAAATAATTCATATAAAATTACCCACAAAGTAAATAAATTAACGTAAATTACTTTTCAAAATTTAAGAACCATGTAAAAGTTACTTTCTTGCCTTCTGCTTTCATTTTTAATTATGCAAATAAATCAAAAATGGAATCCTGTAACGACTCGGCCAGTCGTTTAATGAGTTACAACCCTGTTTCCCCCATTTATGCTCCCTTATATGTTGTTCAGTTGTATTTGATCATATCGTGTTGGTTGCGTTGTGTTCGGAGTGGTATTAGAGTGGAATGAGACACTTAGTCTCTTAATTGGAAGCTTAGGTTGGAAAAGTCAATCGGATGTTGACTTATGAGTAGAAGGTCTCGGATGTGAATTATGATGGTTCGGATAGCTTCGTCAAGTGATTTTGGACTTAGGAGCGTGTGCGGAATGTAATTTGGAGGAACGTGGTAGATTTAGGCTTGAATTGGCGAAATTGGAAATTTGGCATTTTTCGGTCGGCAGTGAAAATCTTGATATCGGGGTCAGAATGAAATTCCGGAAATTGGAGTAGGTTCGTTGTGTCATTTGTGACGTGCGTGCAAAATTTCAGATCATTCGGAGGTGATTGATATGTTTCGGTATCGTTTGTGGAATTTGAAAGTTTATAAGTTCTTAGGCTTGAATCCGAGGTTGATTTGGTGTTTTGGCGTTGTTTTGAGTGATTCGAAGGCTCGACTAAGTTTGAATTATGTTATGGGATGTGTTGGCATGTTTGGTTGAAGTCCCGAGGGCCTCAGGTGTATTTTGGATGCCCAACGGGACATTTTAGGACTTGGAAAGTTAGCAGAATTGCTGGTATTTCTGTTGCAGAAGGTCCTTCTCTGCGATCACATGAGGAGGATCGCGATCGCATAGAGCATTTTTGGAGACCAGTCAGGTTGTTCATCGCGTTCGTGGAGTAAGGGATGCGATCGCGTAGGTTGATCAGGTGAAGCATCGCGAACGCATGGGTTAAGTTGCGTTCGCGTAGAGTTATGTTCATCGCGAACGCGGTCAGTGGTCCGCGATCACGTAGGAGTGAGAGGCAGAGCATCGCGTTCGCGTGGTGATTAACGCGTTTGCGTAGAGTTAAGTCAGGAGTCAGCGAAGTTGTTCTTCGCGATCGCAAGGGTCTTTCTGCGATTGCAATTAAGGCAGCACCTGGGAAGAAAGTATAAAAGGCCATCTTCGCGATTTTCAGCTTATTTTCGCCATTTTTGAGACGGGATTAGAGCTTTTGGAGGGTCTTGAAGAAGGATTCAAGGGGAAACTTGTTGAGGTAAATTTTTTGAACTTAATACTTGTATCTATGGTGAATTTCGGTTGATTAAATATGGAAATTGAAGAGATTAGGGGTGAAAATTGGGAAATTAGGGCTTGAAATTCGAGAGTTTAAATTGGGGATTTGAGGGGCCATTTGAGGTCCGTTTTGATTATTTTGGTATGTATAGATTTTTGAGAGGTTAAGGACTCTAGTAGGGTGATTTTTATCGGATTCAGAGACGTGGGCTCGTGATCGAATTTGACCAATTTCGATATTTTGAGTTTAATTTGATAATTTTCGCATGGGCTTTGTCCCTTTGGCATATATTGATGATATAATTCTGGTGTTGGATAGATTCGGGACGGTTTGAAGCCGAGTCGAGAGGCAAGGGCATTGCGGAGTAGATTCTCGTCCGTTTTGAGGTAAGTAACTCTTGTAAATGTGGACCTGAGGGTATGAAACCTAGGAATTTCGTACTGTTTTGATAAATAAGGTGACACACATGCTAGGTGACGGGCGTGTGGGCGTGCACCCATAGGGATTGTGACTTGGTCCGTCCCGTGGCAACTGTAGAGTTGCATATTTTGATAAACTCTATATGATATCTATGTATTTTAGAAATGAATCTGTTAACTTGGGTTGAATGCCATGTTTGGGGCCTTGTGCCAAACTATTTGGACCCTCAAGGGTATTTTACTACTATCCTCACACTGTTTTGATTCAAAAGCATATCTTCAGTCATGATTTTTACCTGCTTATTATTTGATTCAGTTTCATTACTCTACTTTCAAATATATGAAAACTGTTTGGGCTGAGTTCCCTGATTTTCACTGAAATGCCCGAGTAGCTGTGAGGTTGATAACTGAGATAGGTCGAGGACCTGATGGTGAGGATTATATATATAATTATGGACCGGGCTGCACGCTACAACGATATTTATATGTAAATGGATCGGGTTGCATGCCGCAGCGATATAGCGCTTGGGCTGTAGGAGTCCCTCTGGAGTCTGCACACCCCTAGTGAGTACAGTCGACTATATATCTATGGATGAGGCTGCACACCGCAACGATTGTTATGAGATACCTATTGATTGTGAGTGCTGAGTGTGGAAGTTGAGTCTGATTGATTGAGAGGCTTGCCCCATATATANGCCTCTGTTGAAAATGTTGAGTAAATATTTTAACAGTTTTTCATTGAAACTGGAGTTTTTACTGGTTGTTCAGAATTTATCTACTAATTTGATCGGACTATTTTCTCTGAGATTTTCATATTATAATATGCTTATGTTTTTAAATGCTCGTCACTGCACTCAGCCTTTATTTATAATTGTTACTTACTGAGTTGGCGTACTCACGTTACTCCCTGCACCTTGTGTGCAGATTCAGGTGCCAGAGCATCCGAGTGAGAGCTATCTCTTGCCTTCAGAACATTTCGGAGATTGCGAGGTAGCTACATGGCGTCTGCAGCCTTGCCTTTCTCCTTCCTATCTTCAGTATTTCACATTTCAGTCTTATTTTGTATTGAGTAGACAGTATCAGACTGTAGTGTAGTGGCTCATGACTAGTGACACCGGGATCGGGCAGTGTTGATGTTTTCATTTACTTGTTTCCGCTTATTTTGATGCATTAAAATAAAAGATTTGTAATCATATATGATTAGTTAATGAATTAAGAAGAAAACCTTTTTGTGTTGTGTGTCGAATCGGCTGGCCTAGTTCTGCGATAGGCGTCATCACGACCGGGGTGGTTGGGGTCGTGACAAATCCGAAGAAGTTGGAAAGCTTTGAAGTTGAGAAACAAGTATTTCTAATCAGTTTAGAATGCTCCCGAGGTTATGATACCATCTAGGAAGAAATGGGAAGAAAAAGAAACGGGTTAGAAGTTTTAGCAAGAGAGGGTACTTTGGTAATTATAGAAGTATGTAAGAGATAATAGGGTAAATTATTCGGTCAATCTCGCTTTTAAGCCCAAAAAAATTTGGGATAGACCATCTTATTGCTTTTGGCTTATTTTTAGTTTTTTGGCTTAAATGCACTTGATTTTTTGTATTTGCTAAACACCAAAATAAGCTGTGCTTTTAAGATGGTTTGACCAATTTTTAAGCCAATCCAAATACTTTATCTTTCTTAGTAGGCACACACATCCATCTCAACTCCATATTTCGGTTACTTTTCAATTAGTGAGAGTTTTAACTGGCCAATACTCTGCCCCATACAACGTAACATAGTCAGTCTAACCAGACTTTGTAGAACTTTCCTTTAAGTCTTGGCGTCACATTCTTATCACGCACAAGATTCTGAATGCGAGGCTCCATTATTATTTATTTAAAATTGATAATAATATTTCAAAACGAATAGTGTTTTAATAAAATTTTGGTACAAAAAATTAATATATTGTCTAAGTATTGATCAAAGAAAAAAATATAAAATTAAGAGTTTAGATACATTTGAAAGAAAATAACTTGTTCTATTTCAAGTGTC